TTACAGTGACGCTTGCTTAAAGGGGCATCGACTCTAATCGTGAGATCATTTTGGGCGCGTTCACTCTTTTTAATTGTGGAGTCCCGTAACTTAGTTGTTAGCGCGCTCACCTCTCAAGCGAGTGGACCCGGGTTCAATTCCCGGGCAGGCGAGTTTCCTTACTCCACACGCCTCTGTTTAACTGGCAGTAAGTTGGGTCGTTGGGGCTTTGAGATGTCTCAACGATGTGATAAGGCATTATATCAAATGCAAGGATTATTATTCTGTTCTATTGATATAATTTTGATTTTGCAAGCATTGGCTGAATGAAAGGAGCTTTGGGAGAACTCATTGAAGAACTTGATGTCGTTTGGCTTACACCCCAATCAAATCAAAATCAAAATCTGATTGGCTCGGAGCCTATATGAAATGATTCACAGGCTGGATGAAATCATCCTTTGGGCCGGATGTGGCCCCCGGGCCGCCAGTTGGACCACTCCGCCCTCTGTAAAAGGTGCTGTCCAAGTGCAAGTTGTTGTCTAATGTCCTGAGCCAAACAGACCAGGAAGGTCCCAGGTTTAATCTCTGGTCTGTGATGTTAGCTAATGGTGAAGACACTGCAATTGGCCCTTGGGGCAGGGAAGGAAAACATTCGTCAAAATCCCTACTGGAAAGTACATGTGTCTGGGCACCATGTGCGGACAGGATTGGACTCTGTCGAGATGCTCAGTGAGGAAGCAGTGAAGGGGGAAGACAATGTATTGGTAGTTTGAGAGGAAAGTGTTTCGAAGCAATGATTCCAATTGGATCGAGAGATGGGAAAGGCTTGTTAAACTCAATTTTCACAAAATTCCTAAGCGCACAGACGTTACCAGTTGCTAATCATATGATCTGCCCGAAGCCTAAAAAGACAATGATAACACTGCTGTAATAATCTCTGTCAGAGGCCAACTGAGGATCAGAGTTAAAAGCCTTCAAAACAAAATGTACTTCAGACAAGCATCTAATAAGCATCAGAAGAGGCACTGAATTGAATCAGCCGTATCTCCAGGCATTCCGATTGCACAACTTCCAATCCCTTTTTTGCCCAAACTGAATACTGCGTAGTAATTAGATTTTAATAATCTATGATCATTTGCCTTAGGAATGGGCCGTGTTTTCATTGCAGAAGCAGCTGTTGAAATGGTGCCTTCTCATCTCTTTAAACACCGCAAATCCATGCCCCTCTCTCACCCTCCCCGTCCCCACTTCCCCTTTTAGTTCCTTTGACGAGGCAAGTGACAGAAACCGTTTCATGTGAAATGTGAAGCCTCGGCAGATGGTAATGACATTTCTGCGAGGTTCAAAATTCATTTCAGAAAAAAGAGACAAGTCTCCCACAAAGAGAAGTGATCAGGGCATGGTTCAGAACTAATGTACATTTACCATCAGATGGAGATTTTTGTGCAGAGAGTACAGATTTATTTTTGTGTGAATCTCGCTAAATGGCTGTGACTTTAGAGGGTAACCTGTTCATTTCTGAATTCCGGTTCAATGCATCTTGAAGATAGCATTCATTTCAAAATAACCCGTGCTCCGGAGCAAGGCTGCTGAACAAACCCTCACAAACACACGCTGGGTTTGTTTGGCAGTAAATAGGAACGCGGTTGTCAGTCCATTGGGGGATCGTTTTCCGGGGGTAATAATCCCTCCAAAAAAAAACTCCATCCACCACTGTTTGTGGGACACTGCTGTGCGCAATCGGCTACTGCGTTTCACCCACAGTCAATTCAATTTACAATATATTCTGTGAAGCACTTTGAGACAAGGCAATAAGGCGCTATCTCAAATGGAAGGATTATTATTATTATAATGGCAATAACGCTGAGACAATCGAGGTTCAGGAACACGGTGCAAGCTTAAGGTGTCCAGGGTGGGATGAAAAAAAAACAAGCAGGATTCCTGTCTCCTGGTCACTATCAGTGGCCACTGCTGGAACGTGGTTGAAACCAGCGTAGCGCTTGGCTCGTGTTTAAGATTTCAAAGCTCTTTCAATCTCATCCGTCCAGAACACCCACCTTACCATCCTCCCATCACAGCAACAAGCCGGTGTTTATCCTTTATCCTCTGGGTAAAGAAATACTTCCTGGTGACTGCCCCGAAATTGCCTTTTGCAATTCTAACCTAAGCCCTTGGCTGCTTTTTCTACGGGTTGGTGCATCTGAAAGTATTATTCTGGGTTTGCTTTGTCATTCACATTTAAATTTTTGTTCACCTTTATGAGGTCCCCTTTTGAGAGGTTTCCTATCAAAACTGAAGAGCCCGATCTCTTGGCAACTTCTATCACATCCAATGGAGTACATGTGTTTCCTATTCTTACTTACCTAAAAGCAGTACCTTGTATTTATCGTTATTAAACTTAATTTGCTACTGTGACAGTATCTCGGCACACATCCAAACAGAAAAGAGTTCAGCCAAATTCTTCCGCTTTAGCTCACCCTTCCACCTTCTCTGGTATGACAATTGTATGTCAGCCTGGCACAGCGATAGCACTTTCCCCTCTTAGTCAGAAGGTTGTAGGTTTAAGGTTCAGGTCGGGACTTGAACTCACATAGTCTAAGCTGACGTTCCAATGCAGCAATGCAGGGCTATTGCATCGTCAGAGGTGTCTGCCTGCTCAGGTGGACGTTAATGATCCCACAGCACTGTTCAAAAAGTGATGGTAGCTTCTCCCAGTGTCTTAGCCAACAAATCCCCCAAATAAAATTTTTGTTGCATGGCTGTTTGTGGGCTGTTGCTGTGTGCAATTGCGCTGTCGTATTTGCCTACAAATAGTCACTTTATTTCACAGTAAATCCTGTGAAGCACTTTGAGACACGTTTCCGACGTGATAAGGCACTACAACACGTGCAAGAATTGTTATTGTTATTTATGTAACGTCTTTCACATCGAGAGGACGTCTCAAAACTCTGATGTAAAGATAAAGGTGATGGAACATGCCATATCAATGCAAGTTATTGTTGTCAATGCGATGTCCCGTGTGGGCTGTATGCATTGTAGTTTAATATTCCTCTAATTCCAAGTCCCTAACCAGATAATGACAGGTTCCTCATAAGGTTCCTTTCTACAGAATTGACTTACAAAATCAGTGAAACTGGGCTGCCAAGACCCTCATTCATCACGTCCAGGCTGGACTACACTAACTCCCTGCTCTCCGGAAACCCAACTCTTACCTCCGGAAACTGTAGATTACCCCAGAACTCTGCAGCTTGTTTCCTCTCCCATACCAAGCTCCGTGAACCAAACACCCCCATCCTGTAATGGAGTCTTGTAGCTCAGTGGTTAGAGCACTCGCCTAGCAAGTGACAGACCTGTGTTCTATTCCCAGCCGTGTGAAGCTTTGGGCAGGTTTCCTTACTCCACACTCCTGTTCACCCAGCAGTAAGTAGGAAGCCGGTTGTTAGTCGGTTGGTGGATCGCTTTTCCGGGTAAAATAATCCCTTCAAAAAATATCATGATGATAATTTGGTCACTCAATCCACGACTGTTTGTGGGACACTGCTGTACGCAATTGGCTGCCATGTTTCACCCACAAAATATAATCAATTCACTTTATAGAGTATATCCTGTGCTTTGAGGTGTTGTAGACGTGATAAGGCGCTTTATCAAATGCAAGATTATTATTATTATTATCCTCCTCCTCGTCCGGCTCCACTGGCTGGCCGTGCCTGAGGATCAAGTTTAAAATCCTCACGTTTAAAGCCCTCTACGGTGGTGCTCCTCCCTACCTGTGACCTCTGAACACCATACCAACCTGTCTGCTCCCTCTGTTCAGTGGGCACTGGCCTGCTCCATGTCCCCGCCCAGCACGCCCCACCATTGGCAGATGGACCTTCAGCTTTTATCCCCCCCTCCTCCTACCCTATTGATTCCCCCCCCAGCTCGGGTGCAAACCCTTAACTGTCCAGCAACTTGCGATGTCCTTCCGATGTGAAAGGCGCTGTGTAAATGTAATTCTGTGATTGGGGCTGGGCCAAAAAGGACACTTTCACAGACTTTGACCAGAAGTGTATTTATAAAACCTAAAAATGATTCACAACAGTATTTCAACGGGTTTGACTGGAGTTTTACAAGCTTAGTTAAGACATAGAATTCTCCATTTGAGAAAACACCTGGGTTTCCCTCACGCAGCTTTCCTTTGTACAAAATAAATCAAAAATATATTTTCAGGTGAGTAGCCGCGAGCGCTAATTCACCTTAGCTCTGAATAACGCCTTTTAGCCTCGTTGTGTGTGGGAAATGAATGTTTGGGGGGGGGGGGGGGTTGGCAATAAGTCGTGTGAACCTCCTGAAGTGCAGCAACGTGAGGGTGTGAGTATGTGACGTTTAAGGCAAGGGACGGCACTGATGGTATTTAGCACATTGAGTAGTGCCAGGGTAACCCTGCAATTAGCCTTAAGGCAGATTAAGTTTCTCATCCTGCCTTTCCTGGACATTCACGACAATAGTGCATTGGGATTACCACCAAGCGGTATTGAGCCAGGAATTTGAACGCTGCTTCACAGGCCCGAGTTTAGCTGCTATCCTATTTCTGGTCCGTACTGAAGCACTCGCCACCTTCTGTAATCAAAAATGACAAACCTTTTGCAGATATCTCCCCCTTCCCCTCTCCTTCTCGGTACCCACGTCAAGGTGGAGTCCTGCAGCATAGTGGTTAGCTCTCTCGTCTCGCAAGCGAGAAGACCCAGGTTCGATTCCCGGGCAGGGTGAAACCCTAGGCAAGTTTTCTTGCTCCACACGCTTCCGTTTACCAAGCAGTCTGAGAGAGCTGATAGAAACGATTGTTAGTCGATTGGCGGATTGCTTTCCGGGGGTAATAATCCTTACCAATTTTTTTTGAAAAAATCATAATGATAATTTGGTCACTCAATCCACGACTGTTTATGGGGACACTGCTGTGCGCAATTGGCTGCCACGTTTCGTCCACAAAACATACAGTCAATTCAATTGACAGTATATTCTGTGAAGCACTTTGTGACGTCTCAATGAACTGATTAGGCGTTATATCAAATGCACGGATTATTACTAAAGAGTGTTCATTTGAAAACCTGTCTAAGTTCAAAACAAGTTGGATCACAACTCTTGGTGATGGGATCAATAGCACATGAAATATCACATTTTTTGACTCATTCGTTCCCACTTCCGATCGCTGTGCAGTGACCTATTGCTTTGTTGCGATTTAGCCCCCAGCCCACGCATGTGCTACGCTCACGTGACCTGAACACCTAATCTCCCAGACCCACACATGAAATCCAGGCACATGTGTGAGACGTGTATGTCAGTGTGAGATGGCTTCCTCGAATGACTAAAGAAGTAGATTGCAAAGGGCGAGTGGGAGTGGTAAAAGAAAATACCACTCAGAATCCTTTTTGAGGATTGCACTACCATGTCCAGAGCAGGACTAAGTTCCTGTTCAGTTTACTAACTGACCCAAGTGTCCAAAATGGGACTTGATAAAACCTGGCTCCGGAAAAGTTTAATGCGTCACTTTAAACGGACATTGCCTGGCAGTATTCAATGGGTTAACACAACCCCTTTTCACCTTATGTACAAAAAAATATATACTCCAAGTGTATGTACTGTTAGACGTTAACAAACACAGGTCCCACAGGTAGGTGATAAACCTCTGAGTGAGGGTCTTCTGATATTAAAAACTGGAACAAATATTGGCAGTACCTTCAGCCGCTATCAACTTGGCTTCAATTGGATGAGATCAGACCAGGTTTAACTAGTGAAACCCCTCTTAATTTCTTCTGCGATCAGTGTCTCTGTGATGGTCCTTATCCCTGTGATGCCTGTCTCTGTCCTGGCTTCTCTCTCTGTACCTGGCCCCGCTGTCGGGATGGGAATGCCTCTCGTGCTTCCTGGACTTGTCTCGCTCGTCGCCCCTGCTGTCCGAGGCCTCCTCCTGTCTCTCCCACCTCCCCCGTTTCTCCACCTGCCTCGCCTGCTCGGCCCCGGTCTCCCCACCGTCGCTGCGATGATGCCTCTCGTCCCTCTCGGGCCGATCGCTTGAATTCCCTCGGTTGGCCTGACCGTCTCTTCGCCTCCCATCCCTCTCCGAGCTCCTGTGGAGACTCCTCTCATTCCCTCGCTCTCTGCTCCTCCATCCCTCCGCTCCTTCTCCCTGCTCGCTCCTGTGCTCCCGGACAACGTTTGAGTATTTCTCGTAAGCCGGATCCTCCCTTTCCTTCTTGACTCGCATGGGGGGAGAGGGTGACTGGGGTCGGCTGGAGATCCCTGACGATTGCCTGGACTCCCCGCCCTCCGCCTCTCGCTTCTCCAACTTCATCTTCTTTGCCGTATCCTTTTTCTTTTTCTTCTTCTTCTTCTTATCTGGGAAAAAGAATCGAGCGAGTTTGCATGCCTTCGCCTATTTATCTATCTAGCTATCCGTGTAAAGGAGACGTCTCGAAGATTATTGTTATATTATGTCTCTAGGGACAGTGGAAGCAGAACGTCTCGATTGATTCAAATACGAACGAGAGATTTCTTTTCGAAAATAATATTTTGGGGATACAGTGTACGAGTAATTTGAGACGTGACGTACAGTGAGTGTAGTATACTTTAGGCAACCAGGCAACTTTGGACCTAAGGCTCCCAAAGCTTTCCACTCTGTTGTAGACTAATCCATACAGAATTAATTGCTGTCAACATCTCCATCACTGTAGCATAGGCTTGAGGGGCTGAATGGCCTCCTCCTGTTTCTATGTTCCTATGTACAGACTGATCTCCGGGTCAGAAAGTTGAGGGGCTCGAACCCCACATTGAGATTCGAGCTCAGTCTATCAAATCCTGCACGATTTACCAATCTGCAGCCAACCACCGTTAACCCCGAGGGCAAGCCTATCTGCCTCTCTCACTTCACTCACCTTTCTTGCGTTTCTTCGCAGTTGCCTCACTCGTGCCCTCCTCTTCGGAGGACTCAGGGGAGGCCGGGGCTAGAGCTGGGACTTTGGGGGCACAGCCCTCCTCTCTCAGCTTCTTGGTCACATCGTCAATATCCTCCCTGTCCTTCGGAGGCTTGTAGTTGGCCACGTGGTCGACTCGGATTGTCCTTCCCTTGATCTGAAAAGGGAACACAGTAATTTTAGTGCCGTTTCTGTCAGCTCTCTGAGTTTTTAATAAGAACGGTCGAAATATCAGGCGAGCAGTGGGAGATGTTTAGAGGTTACAGGGGACATAAGAACAGGAGTAAGCCATTCCGCCCCTCGAACCTGTTCCGCCAATATTTTAGTTCATGGCTGATATGCACCTCAACCCCAATTACCTGACTTTGGTCCATATCCCTTGATACCCTGACCTAACAAAAATCTAACTGCCTTCAAAATTTCAAGTGATCCAGCTTCCACCGCCTTTGGTGGGGGGTGGAGAGTTATAATAATATAAATAATAATCCTAGCACTTGATATAGTGCCTCATCCTATGGTTGAGACGTCTCAAGGCGCTTCACAGAATATACTGTAAAGTGAATTGACTGTATACATTTGTGGGCGAAATGCAACAGCCAATTGCGCCCAACATTGTCCCACAAACAGTCATGGATTGAGTGTCCAAATTATTATTATTTTTTTCCTAAAAGATCTTCCTAAAGCAGCATAAAGCGAACTCAACTTTATAAAGTGGAGTTCCAGATTTCCACTTTACGAAAGAGATAATAACTTTGCGTTTGATACAGTGCCTTTCACATCGGGAAGACGTCTCAAAGAGGTTCACATGAGCCACTGTGAAGTGTTGTGATTGTGTGTTCTGTAGGTGAATCCGGCAGCTAAGTTGTGCACAGCAATTTCCCACAAACAGCCATGAAGTGGGTAACCAATTATTTTTATTTGGGAGAGGGGTGGGGTGGGGGGATTGCTGGCCAGGACACCGGGAGAGAAGTAACTCCCATCTCTTTTTCAAATTGCGCCATGGGATCTTTAACGTCTCCCTGAACTGGCAGATTGGACCCCAGTTCCACGTCTCATCTCAAGGACAGTCGGTAAGGGACATGTTATCTGTGAAGTGCTCTGAGATGTGCTTCCAATGTGAAAGGCGCTGGATCAAGTGCAAGGATTGTTATTACGATTCCCTGCAGTTTGCTTTGGATCCGAGCGAGCGAGCTCCCACTGTGCCTCTTATCGGTTTGCTGTATGTGCCCATATTACTTACTGTAATGTTGATTAACTGCTTTACACAAGGCTTAATAACACTGCTGATGATTCACTCCATTTGTGAATATTAATATTACATCACGTTCTGCTCACGGCCCTGAAAGTCCGTGCTCTCGCCCTGTTTACCTTGATGCCGTTAAGATTGTCCACAGCCAGAATGGTGCTTCTCTGGTCTTCAAAGCAGATGAAGCAGAATCCCTTCGATTTCCCGTCTTCTTGTCCCGAACCAGATTGATGTTAACAATCTCACCGTACCTGCCACAAGAACATCAATGCTTCACTGCTACATTTTCTTGTAAAATCCCCCTCTCTTATTTTCTCCCCACTCCTCTGCTCGATCTCCAACACTCACTACCGTTCCCCCTCCCACTCTGTGCCACCAGCTGTTTCCTCCCTCTTCCCCTACCAACCCCCACCCCACCCCCCACCCCGAGACGTCTTTCTACCTCTCACCTAAAAACCCTCCTCTTCAACCATGCCTACGGTCGTCTCCACCCCTCACCTCACCCCTCTCCCTGGCCTCTGTCCAGCTCAGTTAGTGCAAAGCACTTTGACATGTTATCCCATGTGAAGAGGGCTATAGAAATGCAAATTGCTGTTCTCTCACTCAATAGAAGTCTGGCATCACTGGGGTCATTGGTGTGTATGGTGAAGGGTGCCACCTACTGGCACAAACCCAGACCAATTTCACCAAATACGACACTCGGCCAGTGTATAATAATAATAATAATCCTTGCATTTGATGTAGTGTCTTATCACGTCTTTGAGACCAAGTGGCAGACAGTTTGCGCGCATCAATGTCCCACAAACAGCCATGGAGTAATTGACCAATTTTATTTGGGGGATTTGTTGGCCAGGACAGCGAAAGAAAGAAAGAAACTCCCTTCTCTTTTCAAGCAGAGAGAGGGGGGGTCACACGTGCTCGGTCGGGATCAGGAGCGGGAATTCTGACTGACGTTCTCCTCCCTTAACCTGGGAGGCACGGAGACCAAACCACCCTATCCCCCGCCTCTCCTCGGCAAGTGCTTCCTGGCGACAAAGTTTTACAGAATACTCACTGTGAGAACACACAGATCACGTCTCCTTCAGTTAGCTCATAAGGAAAGCCGCCTGCAACAGGAAAAGACATCAAACTTACAGTGCTAGCGAGCGAGAGATAGTGAGAGAGAGAGAGAGAGAGAGAGAGGAGAATAGGCAGGAGAAGGGGAAACCCTATGTTAAGCCTTGCAATACTGGAGTGAAGCGACTGTGGTGAAGCGGTTGGTGGGAGTCGGTTGAGCTGATGAATTGCATCAGTTGAGACGATTATTGGTTTAAGTCAGGTTCCCGCGGTGTGTTGGTATCAGTGCGTTTAGCTCAGCGATGGCAGATATCCTAGACCAGGGGTCTCCACCCAGTCGGTCACGGCTCGGTGGCGCTAGGTCTCGTACTTGCTCAGTGAAAAGAGAGGCCGGAGCGAAATTTACCCGAGTTTTAACATTAAAGTTGACATTTTTATTTCCAGTTGCATGAGATGCTTCTGGCTTCGTTTTCAATTTGACTCATGCAGGTTCCAGTGCTCCTTCCTCTTTTCTTCTTGATCGCGCTTTCAGCCACTGCGCCCAGAAACTCTGGATCGCTCTCCCTCTATCCCTCCGCCTTGCCCCTTCCCTCCCCATCTTCAGGTCGTGGCTGAAGACCTTCCTCTGCCACCGTGCCTACGGTGACCTCCCCCCTCCCCCCACCCCCGGCTCGGCCTCGTGCTCCACACCATCAGGCGCTCTGGGACGCTACCCGGCGTGAGGGGCGCTACATAAACGCAAGTTGTTGTTGTTGATCGTGTGTGATGGTGCCACCGACTGGTGATCGACTGGTTGGAGGCTCCTGGTCCAGACAAAGTCCCACCTGCGGCTTGATTTCCGTGCGCGTCACCTGTTGGAATGGCCACACGTACCTATGTACACCCAGGCGCTGTCCTTGTATTCCGAATGCCAGGAAGCGTTCTCCTTGACTCCCAGCTCTGCCTCCCGGGCATTCAGCTCATTGATGAGCTTGACTTTGGTTATGGGACTGATGGAATCAGAGAGAGAGAGAGAGAGAGAGAGAGAGACACAAACACGGCAAGTGGATCAGAGCCAGTTTAGAGCCGGGCACAATAAATAATCCTTACATTTGATATAACGAGCTTCACCTTGGGAGAGCACTCGCCTCGCAAGCGAGAGGAACCCAGGTATGATCCCGGGGCAGGGGGGAAACCTTAGGCAAGTGTCCGCGCTCCGCACGCCTCTGTTTGCCTGGCGGTGAGTAGGAACGAGGTTGTTAGTCGATCGACGGATCGCTTTCCCCGGGTGGGGGGGGTGGGGGGGGGGGGGAAATAATACTTCCCCCCGAAAGTAAACAGAATAAATAATTCGGCCGCTCAATCCACGACTGTTTGCGGGGAGGCTGCTGTGCGCAATCGGCTGCCGCGTTTCGCCCACAAAACAGGCCGCGCCGTCGCCCCACTTTACGGGGTGTCCCGCGGTGAGGCTTTGAGTGACGGGGAACCGGGTCACAGCGCAAAGACCATTATCGCTCGTTTCGAACGTCCCGAGCTGCGGGCAGCGGATTGCCCGTCCGGAGCACAGCCACTGGTGCCGGAGGACCTAAAGCGGAAACAACAGATCTGCTCCCACCCCCTCCCCCTCCCACACCCCCTCCCCCACACCCTCCCCCTCCCACACCCCCCTCCCCCCACCCCTCCCCCTCCCACACCCCCTCCCCCCACCCCCTCCCACACCACTTCCTCCCACACCCCCTCCCACGCCCCCTCCCACACCACTTCCCCCCACACCCTCTCTCCCCCTCCCCACACCCCCTCCCACTCCCACACCACTTGCCCCCCACACCCTCCCCCCCCCCCCACACCCAGCCTGACCCTGAGTGGGGTGGGGGGGGGGGGGTGGTGGGGCGGTGGGGGGGGGTGGTGGGTGTGAGGGGGAAGTGGTGTGGGAGGGGGAGGGGGGTGTGGGGAGGGGGGAGGGGGGGTGTGGGGGGGGGGGGGTGGGGGCTGAGCTGGAGCTCTACTCACTTCATTCTGCGGCTCTCTCCCTCTCCCTCTCCGCGGCCTGAGCTCCAGGTCCCAAACACACAGAGCACGAGGCAAGAGGCTGAGAGGCAGACAACAGCGTCTCCATCTCACATCACCACCTGGTGGCGGGAGGACAGGACCCGCCGGCCCAGGGCGTGCAGCCAATGGGGTCGGGTGGGGGTTGGGGTTGGGGGGAGTGGGGGGTTGGGGGGGAGTGGGGGTTGGGGGGGAGTGGGGGGTTGGGGTTGGGGGGAGTGGGGGGTTGGGGGGGAGTGGGGGGGAGTGGGGGGTTGGGGTTGGAGGGGAGTGGGGGTTGGGGTTGGAGGGGAGTGGGGGGGTTGGGGTTGGGGGGGAGTGGGGGGTTGGGGGGGAGTGGGGAGTGGGGGGTTGGAGGGGAGTGGGGGGTTGGGGTTGGAGGGGATGGGGGGTTGGGGTTGGGGGAGTGGGGGTTGGGGTTGGGGGGGAGTGGGGGGTTGGGGTTGGGGGGAGTGGGGGGTTGGGGGGGAGTGGGGGGTTGGGGGTTGGGGGGGAGTGGGGGGTTGGGGTTGGGGGGAGTGGGGGGTTGGGGTTGGGGGGGAGTGGAGGGTTTAACTTTATTTCGTCCTGTCTGCCTGTTTCAAGTGGGCGTTCAGAGATCCCGCGGCGCCTCGGGACGTGAAAGGCGCTCTGTAAATGGAATCTTGTTGCGGCGGTGGTGGCGGTGGTTGTTGTTGTTGTTGTTATAATAATAATAATAATTCTTGCATTTGATATAGCGCTTTTCACGTCGGGAGGACGTCCCAAAGCGCTTCACAGAACACACTGTAAAGTGAATTGACTGTATATTTGTGGGCGAACGCGGCAGCCAATTGCGCACAGCAATGTCCCACAAACAGTCGTGGATTGAAAATGACCAATTTATTATTGTTTTGGGTTTTGGAGGGATTATTATTAGGCTCTGTGTGGAGTAAGGAAACTTGCCCGAGGTTTTGCCCTCTGCCTGGAATTGAACTCAGGTCTCTCACTTGCAAAGCGACTGCTCTAACCACTGAGCTACAGGACTTGTTGTTCGGGAAGAGGAGGGACGTTTCTTCCTCCCCGGCCGACAACCCCCCAAATGAAATAAAATGTCGTCAAATCACTCCGCGGCCGGTTGGCGGGCGGGACACTGCTCTGCGCCAAATGTTGCCCCAGAAAACACACACATCAATTCCACTTTACAGTATGTCCTGTGAAGCACATTGAGGCGTCTCAATAATAATAATAATAATAATAATAAATCTTGCGTTTGATTTCGGAACTTATCACGTCGTTGAGACGTCTTAGGCTGTTTTACAGAATATACTGGAAAGTGGATCGACTATATTTCCCACAAACGGTCGTGGATCGAGTGTCCCAATTTTTGTTTAAGGGATTATTACCCCTGGAATCCATCAATCGACTAACAACCGGGTTCCTACTTACTGTTAGGTAAACAGAAGCGAGCGGAGTAAGGAAACTTGCCTTAGGTTTCGCTCTGCTCGGGCATCCAATCCAGGTCCTCTCGCTTATGAGTTGAGCGCTCTAACCGTGACGCTACGGGAACCCACAATGACGTGAGAAGGCGCTGTATCAAGTGGAAGGCTTATCATTTATTATTTGGCTTTAAGAGGGTTTTGTTGTCTTTTCGTGAGATCGCCAGATTGGGTTGGGTGAAGAAATCCCTTCGACCCATCTGATCTCATCCTCCCAGAATAATTTCCTGCCGTTTCTCGACAAGAACAACAACTCATTGCACGTACGTAGCTTCTTTCTCGTCGTGGAGCCGGCAAGTGTAGGGATCAGTAAACGTTTAGTAGGTCGCAGAGTCAGGGAGGAGCAAGATCATGGAGGCCTTTGAAAGTGAGGACGAGGATCTTAAGCTCGATCCTCTGGGGGGGTGGGGAGCTGGTGAAGCCGGGGGAAGGCAGGGGGTGATCGCTCACAGAGCGTAACGAGGACTCGAGCAGCAAAGCTCTGAATTTTAATTGCTTTCAGTTAATTAACAGGTGAAACGCAAGGTAAATATCACCATCTGCCGCTTGCGTACTTTTTACATCACAAAACAAACTGTGATCTCGGCCTTCGATGGACTTTCTGATAACATGGGACCCAGACACTGCTGCCAGCCTCAAACAGACTGATAGTCAGACACTCGGCCCTGGTGCCACTAAATGAGCTGATTGCCGCAGTCTGACTCCCACACTGTTCAGGCTGTTTCCATTACTACAGCTCAGGAAAGCAAATAAAATCTTGCATTTGATATGGCGCCTTATCGCGTCGTCGAGACGTCCTAAAGCGTTTCACAGGATCTACTGTAAAGTGCAGTGACTGTGTATTTTGTGGGTGAACTCGGCAGCCAATTTGCCCACTAACAGCCGTGAAGTGAATGAGCAATTTGTTTATTCGAGGGATTGTTGGCCAGGACACCATGAGAGAGAAATCCCTTTCTCCAGCGTCAGCCTAGACAGCGAGTTCAATGCCTCTGTACCTACAACCTTCTGACTCAGAGGCGAGAGTGCTATCCGCTGAGCCAGCCTGCCGTATAACACAGTGAGGAATAAAAACAGAAGTGGCTGGGAACGCTCAGCAGGTCAGGCAGCATCTATGGAGAGAGGAAAGTGAGTCAACGATTCGGGTCGATGAACTTTCACCAGAACTTGCCTCTCTCCATAGATGCTGCCTGACCTGCTGAGTGTTCCCAGCCACTTTCGTTTTTATTTCAGATTTCCAGCATCTGCAAGTATTTTGCCCTCTTTTTCAATACAGTATGGAGCTCCTCCAATGGGCAAAGGTGACACAAGTGAAGCGGACACACTTGAGTGGTCTGAGGGGGTTGAGAGGCCCTCCCTGGGCCTTCAGCAGATACAGCTGAGTCATGAAGCCAGGAGCTCAGCTCTGGGAGCCCAGCTCCGTGCTACATCCCTGACACTGACGCAGTCAGAAAGCTCTTTCACGTGGAAGTTTCTAGGCTTCTATTTGGCACGTGACTACGTTTGCTGGTATAAACGGGTGACTCACTCATTGCTATTGTACACAATGGAGGGCAAAGCTGCACATTAAGCATCTAGAACGTTCCACTGCAGTCACGACCTTCTGGACGGTCCCTTGTTTTTTTTATGTAACAATAATTGAGCGAGTCTCACACAGCGACCGCTGCCTCGATGCCCTTCCCACTGCAGTTCGCTGTCTAAGCAGAGCGAAGAGGCTGAATGAGCCATCTTGTGAGTGACTTCATTTGAGGATAACAAGCAAATCCAAATTAAGTGTCTCTGACGCTGCTGTTGTGATAACCGCTGTGGTCACGCACCAGGATGTCCCTCAAACAACGATTGCTCTCGGTCTTTCTCTGCTGCTTCTCCTGCATCGCTTCCCTTCTCTGCCTTCACCCAAGCAAGACAGGCGGCATCCCAGGAGGAACTCGGTGAGTGAACTGGATGCCCAGTGTCTGGCAGCACAGCTCTTACAGTGGGGGAGGGGTGGCATCTGGAGGTACGAGATGTTCTCTTTTTGGCTTACAGGCGAGAAATTCTCGACTGTAAACAATTGCAATATTCAAATTGGTTGGGGGGAGGTCAAACCCCAAAGTCCACCACCACCAAAGCGTGGAGTCCTGTAGCTCAGTGGTTAGAGCACTCGCTTTGCAAGCGAGAGACCTGATTTCAATTCCAGGCAGAGGGCGAAACCTTGGGCAAGTTTCCTTACTCCACACACCTAATAATAATTCCTCCAAAACCAAAAACAATAATAAATTGGTCATTTTCAATCTATGATTGTTTGTGGGACATTGCTGTGCGCAATTGGCTGCCGCGTTCGCCCACAAATATACAGTCAATTCACTTTACAGTGTGTTCTGTGAAGCGCTTTGGGACGTCCTCCCGACGTGAAAAGCGCTATATCAAATGCAAAGATTATTATTATTATAATACAGCTGTGGTTAGAGAACAGTCGGGTGGGTATTCTGGAAGAGTGAGATCAAATGAGCTGAAGGGCCTTGGTTATCTCAACCAATCTTGTGGCAAGTGTTAGAGAGACAGCAAGTATCCGTGCATCTGCAATCTCATGTGTCACTGGAATCCAATTTAATAATTAAAGTCTTGAAATGAGTAGATCCATATCTGTCCACATTTCATATTGCTCCTGTTTATCTCGTAGCAAGTCATCGTTCAAACCCCGCAAATCGCTGCTCTGAAAATGGTTAGACAGCAAATTCCCGTTGTGCCCCTTTGCTTTCTGGACTTGGAAACATACAGATTTGATGACCAACTTTAATGAGAAGGCTGTGCAAACAGTCACAAACAATAAATTTATCTCTTCAATTAAAATGTAATGCGGTTTGCAGGCATCACTTATTGGTGGTTTCGAAGAATTAATAACCAGGTTTGCTTTGTCACTGATATGATCATCTTGTCTGCACAAGTTAGGGTCAGACTTGCAGTCGCGAGATAATAATAATAATAATTATAATCATAATAATAATACTTGCATTTGATATAACCCCTTATCATGTCATCGAGAAATATGTTCAATGTCCTGGCTTCAATCACATTTCCCGGTAACCCATTCCAGCCGTTGAATATCCTCTGTATAAAGGTGTGCCTGTCCTAAATTTGTCCTTCAAAACTCTAACGAAGGAAAAGAAAAGAGAAAGCAGTTTCTCCTGGTGTATCGGCCAACAAATTCCCCCAAATAGAATTGGTCATTGGATTCAAGGGACATTGCTGTGCGTTCTCCTACAATTACAGTCACTCCATTTCACAGTGAATCCTGTGAATCGTTTTGCGACATCATCCCGATGTGAAAGGCGCTGTATCAAATGCATGGTTTATTATCATTATTAATTATTATTAATTAATTGTGGAGTGCTGTATCTCAATGGTTAGAGCACTTGCCTCGCAAGCGAGAGACCTGGGTTCTATTCCCGGGCAGGGCGAAATGTTGGGCAAGTTTCCTTACTCCACACGCCTCTGTTTACTTAGCAGTAAGTAGGAACCCGGTTGTTAGTCGATTGGTAGTCGATCCGCTTTTCTGCGGATAATAATCCCTAAAAAAAAAAAAAAAATTGGTCATTTCAATCCACAACTATGTGTGGGACATTGCTGTGCACAATTGGCTGCCG